TGAAAGCGGAGGATCTGCAACATCGTCTCATGACCGAACAACAAGAGCGCACACGTCTCGAACGGCTAGTCACCGAAGGTAGTATACCGGACGATCAAAAGGTGGCCGGTCTTACCGGTTGCAATGGCGCCGTATCACCACCACCACCGCCGCCACCGATGAAAGCAGTGCCACCACCACCGCCACCGATGGCCGCAGCGCCGCCGCCACCACCACCATGTCCCGGTGCACCAGCCCCACCCGCTATGGCGCCAACAATGGGTGAGTAGATACAAAGTTCGCATGAAATTAACAGCACTTAATGCGCATTTAAACTATAGCGCCGCCACCACCTAAAACTGAGGTGCCCAAAAAGAATGTGCCACAACCTTCGAATCCGCTAAAGAGCTTCAATTGGTCCAAATTGCCCGATGCCAAGGTGCAAGGTACGGTTTGGAGTGAATTGGATGAGTCAAAATGGTACAATAACATGGAGTTGGAGTCGATAGATAAACTCTTCTCGGCATATCAAAAGAATGGCGTGGTTGTAAGTTGTTCTTTGTGCCGAATGTTTATTTTAAATTAATTTTTGCTTTATTTACCTCAAGAATGACGGTTCTGTGGAAGATCTAAGAGTTATGGGCAAGCAGCGCACAAAGATACTCTCCGTCATTGATGGACGACGTGCACAAAACTGCACAATACTCTTGAGTAAATTAAAGATGAGTGATGAGGAGATCTCCAAGTGAGTAAAAAATATTTTTTAAAGTAGAAGATATTTGTTGACCGACCTCTGCCTAAGCAAAGCTTCTTACAAAGCTACTCTTACTAATTTTCTTTTAACTTCTCCCTCCACAGAGCCATTTTGTCAATGGACAGCAATGAGCAGTTAGCTCTTGACATGGTGGAACAACTGCTGAAGTTTACACCCTCGGCTGAGGAGCGCGCACTACTAGACGAACATAGCGAAGATATTGAGTCTTTGGCGCGGGCTGATCGTTTTCTTTACGAAATTTCTAAGTATGTTTAATTATTTCATTCAAAGGTTAGGTCTTAACTATTTGTTTACTTAAATTTTACCCAGAATCCCTCACTATGAGCAGCGTTTGAAGAGTCTTCACTATAAGAAACGCTTTATGATCACGGTCAATGATCTGATACCGCGCATACGCAGTGTTATGGAGGCATCACGGGAGATAGCGCGTTCGAGACGTTTACGCAAGTTACTGGAACTGGTGCTGGCGTTGGGTGAGTGAAATCTTATTTGAAGAACTTGAACCTCAGGTTCTTGTAGAATCTTTTAATATTAGAAGAGAATTAGTTACATAAATTAAGTTTTTGAAGTGGTCGTTTTGGAGGGAGTCTGCCAATTCGGCAACGTTATGATGGACATAGATCCAACGTCAAAAATTGATCGAAGAGACGAATTGTCGCGTCGGAGCTTGGACGGAAAAGAGATTTTAGCGTAGAAGCTCACGTCAATATGATTTATGTTTAACCTCTGTGCGTCACATTTTGAGAGTCAATCGACTGCTTTCGATCTTTCGAGTTATCAAGTCGATTTTGAATTTATCTACAAAAACTCATAGTTTTAAGCTTATGATCTTAGGATCAGTTGTTCGGGCTCTGTGATGATTCTTTGTGAATCAATCGTCTGCGATCGTCATTTCGGGTTATTAAGGTCTTCATCGACTAGATGGCTATTTAAGTGACGCTCATTTACGAATAAAATACACGAACAATTTTTAGTTGAAAGATAAGATAGATGTAAACCTCCGGTAAAGAGATATCCGATTACTGATAAAGGAAGTTTTAAGAACTTATCCCAAAAAATTCGGCTTTACAAAAACGTATATTGAATGATATACGCACAGGGCATGTAAGTCCGCAAAAATCTGAATTTTCTATTGAGAATTTCGAACCGTTCAAGAGGTGTGGAACCTTGTAAGAATTGTCTCAAAAGCACAGGAATGTTACCATAAAACAACAGGTTGTTGCGATATAATCTTAATTATGACACACGGTTTGGAATAGACCCATGTTGCGCTAGTCGTGAAGGTTCAAATACTAATTGATAGGCAGGTAGATCTTCAGTAACTTGCGTTTCGAATTTTAATATTACTTTCCTTTGCACTTTCAGGTAACTACATGAACCGGGGAGCGCGCGGCAATGCCTCTGGCTTCCGGCTCGCCTCACTGAATCGTCTAGGTGACACCAAATCCAGCGCCGCCAAAGGTACCACGCTACTGCACTATCTAGTGCAAATGATCGATAAGAAATTCAAAGATTTGCTTAAACTTGAGGATGACATACCGCACGTACGTGAGGCGTCCAAAGTCTCGCTTGCCGAGATGGACAAAGACATACAAATGTTGCGTACCGGTTTAGCGGATGTGGCGCGTGAAATCGAATTCCATCGCTCTGCGGGCCCAGCACAAACGGGCGATCGCTTTCTACCTGTTATGCGCGAATTCCACGCGCAAGCTTCGGTGCGTTTCGCCGAATTGGAAGACAAATTCCAAGATATGAAGACGCGTTTCGATCGCGCCGTGCGCCTATTCGGTGAAGACGGCGCTGTGCTACAACCCGATGAGTTCTTCGGCATTTTCGACACATTCTTGACCGCGTTCACAGAAGCGCGTCAAGATAACGACAACTTCCGTAAGCGTCAGGAGGAGGATGAGAAACGTGCCAAACAGGAGGCCGAACTTAAGAAACGCACCATCGAACGCAAGAACAAAGAGGGATTAATGTCGTCGGTGGCGCGCAATTTAGGACTTACGTCGTCTGCGAGTACGACGGGTCGCGATTTGCCGGCGAAAACAGGCGACAACAATAAAGGCGAGTTCGATGATCTAATATCGGCGCTGCGTACCGGCGATGTCTTCGGCGAGGATATGGCGAAGTTTAAGCGCTCGCGTAAGACGCGCGCCAGCAATGGCAGTGCGTCACCGCCGCGCCATGGACTACATCGTGAGGAAAGTCGCGAGCGCACAGTACGACGACAGTGAGCAGTTTTAAGCAGCGCAAACGCGAATTAGTAGGAATTCTAGGTGCCGTGTAAGCGGAAGCTTTTTGTATTCAGATAATGAATTATCTCACTGTAATGATAATGACGCAGCGCAGACTGCGTAGCAATTAGTTATTGATATACATATACATATGGATAAAGAATTGGTAGAAAAGCTATGAATGTGTGTAAATTTACTGAGGCGCTTGGGCGCGCTCAGATGTTTGTAGCTCCAGTGTAAGCAAACAGCACGCGATATATGTACGTATATGAAGTAATGCTATTATTATTATTATGATTACCTATTAAATACTATTATTATTATTATTATTATTACTAAAAGCTATTTANTATATTGGTATATATATATTGGTTAAAAATTGTGCGTAGTTTTTTTTTACACTAAAAAGCTGCTCATTTGGCGGAGCAACCGATATCGCTTCACTATAGTCTAAAACTCCCATACAAGCTGAACGACCAAAATCAAGTTCTTGTATGAAAATATTTGTCTTTAATTAGATATCTTCACAAACTGTTGCGTTATCGCCCAAGTCAAAGGTACAAACTTCGAAAAAATTATTGTGATCGGATTACTATCACATAATGATGCCATACAAACTGACCGATGATAATTAAGATCTTTTATAGAAACCGTGAAACGTATTATAGTTTCTGCGCTACTGAGGTTAACATTTTTTCTAGTTATTTTTTATAAATTACTGGAATAAATTTCCTTTTAATGCTGGGAAAATGAGATCACATAATATTGTGTACAAATCGTATATTCAAAAAAGTGATCTAATATCTCAGAGAAAGTTTGAAATCAGCTGTTTCCAAGAGAAAAAATCATGGAGAGCGTTTCTACAGCACGAAAAACAAGAAAAGTTCTAAAATCATACTTTGAGAGCTCATAGAATATTATTTGCGAACCCTACTGACGAAGAACTGAACTATTAAGTCGGAGAAAGAAGTTTGAAATCATCTGAAGCTTCGCAGTACTGGGTTAATATTGAAACTCTGGTATTTAGCATATGAAACAGACAAACAAACGACTGTTTATTCTGTAGCAATTTCCATATTTGATATTGATATTACTTATCAAATAACAGAAGACCCAGCTAGTGACCCTTAGCGAATGCCACCCAGAGAGAGCGAGAGAGAGAAAGAAAGAGCGGCAGTGGGAGAGAGATAGCCTCATGCATTATTTGAGCCGCTGATTCCTGCAACAATAGAGAGCTTAGACCTAGAGCGGCTAAACGACATATTAAGTCGAATACTGCTTATTAATACATTTTATTTCTGCGGTCATTAAGCCAACAGTGGAAGACTTTGACAGACAAGTGCGTTTAACATAAAATCTCCATTTCAACAACACTTAAAGCTTATGGCGTTTAGAAAGAGTGAGCTTCTATGAAAGCTTTGTGCTAATTTTTTTTAGCTTTCGCTGGCTAACGCTCAGATTATCCAATAATAATAATTATATATAAAGAAATTGAGCTTTCCACCAAAGCTGTTTATTTAACTTAAGAAATAATTATGGTAGACGTTGTTTTTTTTTCAATTATATATTTCGTTATATTTATTTTAGTGCAATTATATCATTTATGAATATAAATAAAATTCAAATTTTTACAAACTTATGTATATATATAGACTTAAATACACATCTAGATGTGTATAAGAGAATACCTATATATCTGAGGGTCTAATTAGTGTTTATATAGACAGACAAACAGACGCACATGGCTAAATCGACACAGCTCATCATGCTGAACATTTACATATACATTTTGTAGGGTATCCGACGTTACCTACTTTCCTTTTCGGCCCAATAGTAGTTCCAAATTCATTAGTCTCTAACCACTTCAGAAATATTGGCTTTCCCTACAGGGTCGTTCGTAGCATTTGCAATATAATACTAGCTTATCGTAGCGGCTGACTCATTTTAAATATTACAAAAGATTTCAGTAAGCAATGGCAAAAGATAGCACGCTTGATTCACTGATGTAGCTACTTTGTTCTCAATGACTTATGAGTTTCGATTATGCTGCGAGGCGCAAGTGCTTATATTAAATTGAGCGACTTTACGGAACTCAGTTTCAAACTGAGCTCATTGAAAGCAGGACGGACTTTTTTTTGGACACAAGTGATTTTTTAGAATCTTTTTAGGTGAAGAGTGTTTACTTTTGCTGGAATTTTATTTAAATTGCTGAAATAACCGTTATGCGTCGCGAACTCTTGCTGCTTGGCTTGTTGCCCATTCTCTGCAGCTTGGCTGCGAAGCAAGCGACGCCCAATGTAGCATGCCGGGACGAAAATGGCGCATTAGTTGACTGGTGAGCCCAAAACAGCATGAATATAAGAAATAATAGCTTCACAATCATCTTCCCCACAGGTTCTACATGTACAAATTGCCGCGCATACACACACAGTACGGCGCCCGACGCAACAGCAGCGGCTTCAACTACCTCTACATTACAAGCAACAGCTATGACATCTGGCGTCTATCGACACACGAAGTCACCTCGACCGACTCCATGCCAGGTAAACTGCTGCAACCGCTCTTCAACGATGAGCGCGTGCTATTGTTGGCCTACAATGACCAGAAGCCCAACAGTAATTCGAGCACGCCGAAAGCACACGCCAAGGGACTGCTGGCGACAGACGGCGAGACGGCAGTGTGGTTGGTGCATTCGGTGCCGCGTTACCCGGAAATACCAGTTTACAAATATCCGCTCACAGGCGGGCGTTATGGGCAGAGTTTTCTCTGCATGTCATTGCAGGCCAGCGAAGTGGATAAAGTGGCCACGCAATTGCGGCTAATGGTGCCGTTGATATACTACACGCGCACACCCGACGCGGTGCTAGCACGCTTTCCCATACTGCAGCAGGTGGTGGCGGGTAAGTGGCAGCGGGAGGCACCTTTTCAAAATAAAGTCAAGCTGGCGACGCTCGGCGGCACAAAATTCAAATCGTTTGCGAAGAGCGGCAAGGCGGTAACGGAACTGTATGAGGATGTCATAGCGCCGGCGCTGGACGTCAATCTGCTGGTGGAGACCTGGCGTAATGGTGGCGGTAATTTGGAAACCAACTGCACGCGGAGCGACAAGTGAGTAGAGAAATTATTGATTTAAAAATATAAAATTCCAATATACTTATTTTCACATCGCAGAGTCTACAACATACAAGAGATCAAAGAACAGCACCTGCAAATCGCTTTCAATACCACATCCGATCACTCCAAATGGGCGGTGTCGCAGGAGAGCGGTTTTCAGCTTTGGCGTTGGCGTGTCGGCGGTGCGGATTGGCTTTGTGTGGGCGACATTAATCGACAGCGGGATCAGCTGGTGCGCGGCGGTGGCAGCGTTTGCTTGAAGAACAGCAAGGTGGCGCAACTTTATAGGCAGCTGATACAGGGTTATGAGCCATGCCCGAGGCTAAGTAATTGAAACGAATGAATGCAAGCGATAGTGGGAGGTCTAAAATTAGTCTACGTACATACTTACATACTTATGTACATATGCATGTATATAGTTATGTAAACTAGTAAGATAAAATGTTAAATTTAGCTTAAATAGATTTAAGTTTATTGCGCTTTTTGCGGATTTTTAAACTTCCCACATCTCACATAACCTCAAAACTGTTATCCATAACGGTTTTTGTTGTTGTGGTTTGGACTGCAAAAAATAGTTCTTAAATAACTTTTAATAATGCCGTCGAGTTGAAAGTCTTTGGTTGGATAAAAATAATAAGTTCGGGTTATATTGACTCGACTGTTGTGGTAATTGGGACTGTGCCATAATTATACATACATATTCCCTAAATTTATTCGGCCAATCGAATATTACTTCGTCGGGCCTACGTAATCGGAACGGACCCGGATTTTTATCTGGCCCAGAACTTTCAACTCGGCATTATTCTGCCGCTGCAACAAGAACCGCCGACTCGGCAGAGTTCTGCCCGACACACAAAAACAACATCAAACTTATGCTACGGTTTTTTTATCAAACATACACTAATTATATGAAACATATTTCTCATATCATTTAATATTACAAATACTCTAAATATTATGTACTTTAATTAATTATAAACTCACCTGCCCGCATTTTATGTAGCAGTCGCTTTAACACAAAAAAAATTAAAAATTTTGTAAAAAATGTTGCACAGCTTGCGCTCGCATTCAACACAACATATTCATCACACAGTAAAACATACATACATTGTTAAAATATAAACATATGTGGCTCATAGTTTTTATGAAATTCACATGAAAATTTTTATTTTCACTTTTTTAAGGTTAAAATTGTAAATTAATAATTTTAGCATATTTTGACACTAAAACTTCATTCTGAACTTTTTACACACACACAACTTTATCTATGTAAATTTAACAAGAACAATAAAAAAAAACAATCACTTCTGCTGCTTCATTTGAATTTTGCGCTTCAAACTCTTCACCAACAGCGTGTTCTCCAACTGTTTCTTCGGTCTTTTGACTTCGATTTCCTGCGTGTCAGCATCGTTACCATTTCGTAAGCCCTCGTCACCATGTCGGCGTTTCAGCTTTTCTTGTATAATCAATTCCATCGCTTTGGTCTTCTTGAAGTGTGAGTCGGTGGGATCAATGTTGAATTTGGCCGATGTGTAAACAGCCTTGAAACGGTCATCATTTATATTTATTTGGAAGTTATCTTCGACCGGTTTCGTTTCTTCCGCAATTGTGGATTTCGATTTTTTCAATTGTTTGCGTCGTTTACGTTTCGATTTGGTTTCTTGTTCGGATTTAAGTATTTTCTCTAAACTGAAGTGTTGTTTGCCTTGCTCGTCTACATCGTCATCGTCCAAGAGTAGTTGCAGCTCTTTCGCTTGTTTTTCCGCTTCTTCTGCAGCCTGCTGTTTATCCAAATCATTTTGTTGTTTCTTTAGTTTATCATGTTTTTTCGCTTTGGGATCAACGTAATCGCCATTAGCGAATTCTTCCGCAAAATAGGGGTCGTTCATATCGATGCCATCAGGTATGCTGTCCGATTCCGAGGAATAGTCGGCGTCCGGATCTAAGCCACGCGCTTGCAATTTCTTCTTCTTTCGTTCCTCTTTGCGTTGCTTATTCTTTTCACTACGTTTTTGCAGCACTTTTTCAATAGGCGTTAGAGGCTGTTTCTTGTTTTGTTCCTCGAATTCTTCTGCATCCTTATCTTTGTCGTCCGTTTGCTGATCTACATTCCAGCTTATTTCCATTTCAAATTTATTATTCTTCTTTTTCTGTTCTTTCTCATTGATTTCCGCAAGCAGCGCTTTGTATTTATTAATTATTTCATCTTTTTTTCTTTTAGGTTTTTCAGTTTTTACTTTGTCATTTGATTTGTCTGGCAGCTCAGACTCATTTTGTTGGCCCTCTTCAACTGTTGTTTCTTCGCTGCTATCATCATCATCCTCACTGCTGTAAGCAACCATCTTCCGCAAATCCCTGTCACTAATTTCATTCAATTTTCCGCTGGATAATTTTTCGCCCAGTTCTTGTCGTTCCACTGCGGTTTCATCCCAAGTCAAATCGACTTTAGCCTGTTGTAAAGCCGTTGTTGTAAACTGGCGCGGTTTATAGCCATTTGTATCAGGTAAATCAGTGCAAACATCGGTTGGCTCGTCTTCGTCAAAAGTGGTATCGTCGGGTATGAAGCGTAAATCAACACGTGTTGCTGAACTCTCATACTCAATACCATCGCATTCTTTATAAATTTTGTCAGCAGTTGCAATGCTGTCAAAAACAGCCACGGCATAGTAGTAACGCAAGCGATTTAATTGATACTGACGTAGCTTTTCCATGTGATATTCATCGCCCTCCTCCGCATCGCTATCTTGCTCTTTGACTATGTCCTCGTCGTCCGAGCCAGATTCAGCTGCGTCCTAGAACAAATATAAAAGTTAAGTGTATGTCTAATTAAAAGTTATGTAAATAATACCTGCGCACCATTCACCTCCTTTCCAAGTCCAACAAGTTCAGTAGGTCCGTGTATATCCTCTTCCCGCATACGCTCTTTTCCAAATTCTGATGGATAAATTTTCACACTCAAAACACTACCTCCAGGTGGCAGAAATGAACTAAATAGCACCATTAAATCCACAGCACGTATGCGATCCCAGTCCATATTACAAACCGCCAATCTGTTTGTAGACTCATCTGTAGTCTCCGCTTCTTGATCTAATTCGCCCCAAACATGATCGATATTTGCCTCAAGATCATCATCTTCATCAGTGGACTCATCATCCGATGAAGAATCCGTTACAAGTCTTCCTTCACCACGTGCATAATCAATATTTGGATTCAATAAACGTTCACGTAGCGCTTTTGACACTTCCTCGCCATCGCTAACGAGTTCATCATTTGCACCTTTCTCCTCTTCACTGGGCGTGCTTTCGCCTGAATCATCTTCACGAATTATAGCTTTTTCTTCTTTGCGGCGCTCCAACTCTTCCTCCGTTTCGTCATCATCAACACCTGTGTTCTGTTGTTTACCTTCATCTTCGTCTGTTTCGGTGTCTGAAGAATTAAGCTCATAGTATTTGCGTAGATCGTCGGCATTACTTTTATTAATTCGTCGACCATACTTATCCACTGTGTACTTCACTTTAAATTTATTATCAGTAAACATGCCCTGGAAGCGCTTATCTATCTTCACTTTGCGTTGTGTCATAGGAATACCACGAAAACGTGGATCATTGACCAAGTGCTGGAAACGTTCATCCTGCCATATAGCGGATGACGTTGACGGCGCATTGGATGCGGCTTTATCTTGTGTTGTATCATTTTTCTTCACTTTTGCTGATTTTTGTGGTTTGTCTTTTGCCATTTTGCAAATTAAATTCTATAATACACTAATATGTATATCTCACGTAAGCTGAACAAAACACAAGAATTCACTATTTGTAGCGGTAGATATGCCAAAATAAACCGCACGTGCAGGCAACGCAGAGATGTTCAATGTCACAATGCTAGGGTGGCCAGAAGTCATGTTGTGAAGTTATTTTGATAAAAATGTTATAATTAATTAAAGAAAATTAGTTTTAAACATACAATACACATTTTTGAAAGGTACAGCGTAATTGTGCCGTCCTTTATGTTTATTTATAAGATTGTGAAGTAAACCAACGCACTCAATTCATTGGTAAAACCGCGACATTTAACCTATATGCTTAAATCATTAAAAACTAAAATTGTTTGAATAAATTTTTTTTGCTTTTTAAGAAAAAAAAAACAACCGCTTAAATATTATTTCGCATATGTATTATTTAACGAGGGCTATTCAAATAACGATTACTTGTTTCATATTCGTGAGTTTGCATCACTGAACACCAGCAACAGCTGTTTAGTTCAACGTAACCTCTTAGAATTTCTTGGACCGCTAAACTTTGGTTCCCTTGGTTTGTATATTCTGTTTTACTATATTAATTATACATATTTATTATCATTATAATGTTATTTCTGTTTAAAGGCACTTGTCAATCGTTCGATAAAATATATAATGCATTTTTTGATGAGAAACAACACAAAACAGTTTCTATTTTGGAGCAAACATCTATACAGAACATGTACCTCAAGAACTCTAGCTAGCGAAGCTAAAGGTAAGCAATTTCCTTCGTTTCTTAATACTAAATTTTGACAAAACTCTACTTTAGAAAGAATCGCATACAGTGAAATGATGCAACAGCGCCAACAACAAGCCACTCGCAGTATTGTGGTACAAGTCCATTCAGAAAATTCATTCCCTGAATTGTATAACTATTGCGCTAGTTTTGGAGAAATCTTAAGTGCACATCATTACCGCATACAACAGGAAGAGGAACAGCACTATATATTATTAGAGTTTGGCAATGCACAAGAAGCCTCTGCGGCTATTACCGCATCAGCGTATAATGATGAATTATCGAGTGTGCCAGCACATTCTCCTTTTCTATGGTTTAGAGCGACAAGTGGCAAGCGCGCACTCAAAGCAGCGGCAAAATCCATCAAAGCGACTTTAGCTGGAGTTAACGGCACCACAATGTTGGAGAGTAATGCTTTGACGGATCTCTTGTGTGCGGCACCAAACTTAGATCAACAAATATTATATCTACATAAACACACTCAGCTTAATGACCTTGGTGTGCGTTTACGCTTTCTTGCTGCATTACAGGTGCAACAAGCGGTGTCGGGTATGTTCCCCCACGCAAATGCACAACCCTTTGGTTCATCGGTGAATGGTTTCGGTCGAATGGGTTGCGACTTGGATTTAATATTGCGTTTTGATCGAGAAGTTGTTGGTGCAACTACCGTGCAACAGCGCAATCAAGAGTCACGACTTGTATTTCACACTAAGGAGAATCTAACAAATGGACGTTCGCAAACGCAACGACAAATGGAAAGTATTGGTGATATGCTACATCTATTTTTGCCCGGTGTTTGTCATGTGCGACGCATATTGCAAGCGCGTGTGCCGATTATCAAATATCATCATGAGCATCTTAACTTGGAGGTGGATCTATCCATGAGTAATCTGTGAGTATCACTTTTAAATAATATTTATGTAGTGTTTGAGTTTATTTTTATACAAAGTCATAAAATAATCGGTTAACAATTTATAAAACGTTGTGGCGTGCACTGAAATATTTTATTTTGTGAAAATTTATCCAAGAAAAGTTGCGATAAGCATGTGTGATAAATTTTTTTTTCTCAGAAGCTGTTTTAAATTAAAACAAAAAAAATTAAATAAAATAAAACTATCGCTAACTTCGTTTGCACCTAAGCTAAAAAAAAACCTTTCACAGACAAAAAAAACTTTCCATGCAAGAACTAAATTTCTATCGTTCAGTTGCACGGCTTTACGCGGTTGTAACGATTATTTAATCTATGCTGTAATAATCTGTTATGAGCGCTTCCGCAATTGAGCAGCTTCTTGAGGAAAAAAGGATGTGTGCAAAATTCATGAGCGATATCTCAAAAAATAAGAGTCTGCTCGCGTATATATGCACAGACGAAAAAGGCTCGATGTACTCAATCTTTGTATATGTACCCTGTTCAGGATATAAAAAATTTAAATTGCGATAGCCTATTGTCCTGTTTTATTGAAGTATCCACTTTAACTGTCGGATGTAGTTAAAAATCATTGGAAGAAGTTTTTGGAATTTTAAGTTTATTAGATTTCTTTATGTTCTTGCTTCATACCTCAAGTTGCTATTTATTGTCTTTGAAGCAATAAATATTTTTGTAATTTATCTTAAATACTTAGTTCCCCGAAAAAAAGAGCAACGCTGATTGATAACGACACTTGTTTTCTTGTTATTTTCTTCCAAGTGCAGAAGAAAACACAAATATTTATTTATTAACGATTTCATTAAAACTATTTGTGCGCTTAGGTATATTTGTAAAGTTTTCATTTTGTTAACCAAACTTAAAATTCTAATGGATAACGGTAAAAATTAAAATGCATGAAAAGGATGTACATATGTAGTATGTAAAAAGTTCATTCGGCGGTTTTGTGGTAAAAAACTAAAGTTGTAAAATTGTCGGTTTCCAACGGAACTCAATGCGCGCATTCATCGCTAAATGTAAACGTACGCATCCCCAGCAACTACTATTTTGCATATTCGACTCCCAACATCGTCTGCTACTATTTTGCGCTACTTGTAATGACTCAGCGTCGATAAGTCTGCGCTTCATCCTCCTCCTTTTTAACCGCTTGCACTAGCACTAAACTCAAAATGGCGCACACCACATTCAACATCGCCAACGCTAGGGCCACACCCACAATCCAAGATGTCTTGCCCTCGAAAAACCAAGTCAACTCATCGACACAACCGTTAAAGAAACAATTACCGCTCACGGTGTCGCGACATGAGTTAGGCAGTGGTTGATGCAAATTCCAATAATCCCATGGTCCCGTAGCGCCACAGCAGCCAATATTGCTCTGTATCATATTGAGCACATACGATGAATGTGAGTACTCCGAGGTGCTTACCAAATAAGTCAGCGAGCGCTGTAACAACGGCTGCAAGCTCGAGTGCATGGTGCTGTAATCGAGCAAAACCGCCGAACCGGCCACACCAGCGACAAAACCAAACACCTGTGTGCCGAGAAAGACCAAAAGCGCCAAAGTGTTCTCCATCAAGGCGCTAAGGCAACCCAAAAATGTCACCGCCATCATGATAATGCTTGTGCCAATTAATATGTAGACACCAATATAAAAGGTTTGTGCCTGTAAAATGGTCAGCCAATTGCTGAAACCCTCTTCGGCGCGCAGCCAGACGGAAAGCGCGAACAGCGCCGTGGCCAGCATCCATGCGACAATATTGAGACAGAAAAGCGTGTACTTTACGCAACCAATTTGCTTCTCCAGCGTATTCTCCTGACGCCCCAAACCCATTTTGTTGGCTATGTAGACGTTTCAATGATTTTGTTATGTTCAAAGGCGATTAACTGTAATGAGAGCAAGAGAGAGAGGGGGATTGTTTAGTATGCTTATTAATTCAAGTTGTGCAGTTTTTAGGCGTAAATTTTTTCTTCAAAATTGTGCTGACGATTTTTTTGCAGTTTTTTATATAATTTTTTAAGTAATAATTTTTGTGGCAATGCACTTTAATTATAATTATTTTT